ATCTTTTGTGCTTCCTGATCTTGTATAATAAAAACACACAATAGTGAATCAGTCATAAAATACAAACACAAATATTAAAATACAGACTCAGGCCGACGTGCATCGTCATCCTGACTTCCTCGTTGTCCACAATTGTGAATGTGTTTGTGAGAGTGGTGTGTGACGTTTGAAAACTCCCTGTGTAAACACCGTTGTTTTTCCTGTGCACATAGTCAGAGAGATAACTTCACAGGCAGCAACAGAGAGCAGGAGTAGACAAGAGAAGACAGTGTCTGGCCTCTCCCTCACACTCACGCAGGCGAGCGTTAAGATGTGTGTGAATACATGTTGATAAGAATGTGGGTAAATGAGGCTGGAGTCGAGGGTGTGATAAGAGCTATTGTCTCTAGAGATGGTAGACAATGAAAAAGACATGAACTCTATGACCCATTTCTCTGACTGAGAGCATCCCAGTTATAAGAGTTTAAACCTGTAGGATTTCTAAATATATCTGGAGTGTTTTACCTGTAGAACCTGTAGAGGGAGAGGAAAGAGAAGGATGCAACAAAGACCTCTGATGACACTCAATGAGGAGGCCCCTTTATTTTATTTGAGATAAAGCGATTAATAACCTGAGTAGTTTAGCAGAAGAAAATTCACCGGCAGCTATATATTCTATTGATTGTTTGAGTCATTCTCTTTTTGTTTTTTACTATCATTACAAAGTATACAATGGATTCTGTTTGGACTTTGGACACAGCAAGATAATTGAATACACTTAGCAGTGTAGCTATAAGCTAATGTGACAGGAAGTTTTCCTTTTTGCTGTTCATTGCATTTTAGGCAAAAACTGTTCATCAGTTAATTAGGAAGAAAATAAGCAAATACATTCTCTCCAGCCTCACCGTGGCCCTAAAGGTAGAGATTTAAGATGGATAGATGGTTGGATATGCAAATTATTAGCTGCAGCTGGTGTTACTGGTCTCTATAATCCTGCTAATCTGCTACCTAGATTTAAAGTGATATTTCACTAATTTGACTGTAACAAATTGGGGACAAAAACCACAGTTCCTGATTTGTATTGGTTTAAAATGCACCATAAGAGTAAGACAATCTTGTGAGTATCTCACTCAATTTTTAGTCTGATATTATCTTGGTTTTGATGGGTTTTTCAGTATGGAGAAAAGGAAGGGCCAACAATCTCCCTATGAAACCACAGTTCAATTCATTAGATCCACATTATTAATTTAGATCTGCAACCACTCATGAAAATCAGTCCCCTAACCATGATTAGATTTTTTCAAAAAGATCCATGAATTCTTCTCTGGCAAAAAATGGAAAATGTTGATCTCGTCCCCTGATCTGAATAAAAAAAATCAAAACCAATCCCTTTAGCTTTCTTAGAGGTCTCATATCAGCCCTATCAATATATAAAAACAGTGGTAAAATACCTTAAAACAACTTATGAATTATGGACTGGTATGGATACCAGTGCACAGTGATACAATTACAGACTACAAATTGTACAGTTTAAATCCTAAACTACCGCGATTACCCTGGTGATTTGGTTGATACGCATCAACAATGGTAGAGAAAACACTGTTGTTTAAACCAATTTATTTCCTTCTTCTGTTGGACTTTCCAGCTCAATGATGCAACATCATTGATGAATTTGCGTGAAGTTAAGTTAATCATTGAACTTAATACTTGAGTCAGGCTACTTTGCTTTCTATAGAGGAACTGAACATTGGAGAACTAGTACATCATTCTGAACTGACTCCCTAACAACCTTCCTTCTCTGATGTTAATGTTGCACATTTAAACAAAAACAATACTATGATAATACTGATAACCATGATTACTTGGGTCATGTGATATTTACCTTGTTGGCAGGAAGAAAAAAAAACTATGGAAATGACAAACAAAGGATTATTTTAGGTCATGTAGTTCTGAACTTCTACAAAATTCTACAGTTCAATCTCTCTTTTGCTAAAAATATTCAGTGCTCAAATCCATAAATGATGAAATGTGAAAGAAATGAACTGATTATGTTTTTCATGGAGGTGTGTGACAGAGTGGGCAGGTCAGTGTACGCTCAAACATTACTGTGGTATGTTTTAAAACCGGCTGACAGGATCCTATTTTATTACCGTACAAGCCAGGACACGACGGCAGTGCAGCTCAGACAGAGAGGTGAACGAGTTAGAAACCCAGAAATGCACATCTGTGTCTGAGACAGAGGTACTGCTCGTATGAGCATAGAGGGAAGGAAAAAATGATAGTATATCTTTGTGTGAGAGAGCAAATACTAAGTAAAATATACTAAACCTAGAGCTTTTTAAATCCCAAAACTACTCAAACTAAACACAGGTACCTTCACTCTAGCTACAGAAACTTTTAAAATCTTGTTTCTGTCTGTTCAGAGGTGAATGTTGAACTAAACTTCTCACCACAGACATTATTGTAAAACATTTTAAAACCGATGTTTTGTCTTTTCTCTTGCTCTATATGATTATTTACTCGAACCTGCTTTCATACTGAATATTATGTGGATTTGACTTTTACCTCAATAATACTCTTCTGTTTGAATTCAGTCGTTCCTCCCAGTTTAACAGAATACAAAAACAGAGGAGTGGACACTTATTATTCTGCTGCTGAAAGGCTTTTTTCTTCCTTTGCTTGTTTGGCAACTGAAAGGGAGCAACATGAGCCACCACACTGTGGGAAACAAACGCTCCATGCTGTATGAACCTGTTTAACAGGATACAGCACGGTTACTAATCTCTGGCTCTGAGGAAACCCACTAAATAAAAATGTGAATAAACGTTGGCTCATGACAATTACAAGGTCTTTCTTTTATTAATGCTAATTATAAGTATAAGTACACATAACAGCAGTCTGACCCTGTATTTAAAATAAAGTTTACAAAAATGTGCAATATGCACCATTTAAAATAAATAAATACAGTGAGGTATCTACAGGACAAATATGAACTTACCAAAATACTTCAATGTATTTTTTAGAAAATGCATACAAAAATTTTAGAAATATGCATGTTG